TTTGATGCACCACTGCTGATTTGGGCCACAAAAAAAACACAGGCTGGTTTTGTCCAATACCTCCCATCCCTCTACTAAGGACAGCATAAAAGAGTGCTCGTTGCTTTCATTTCTACGATTGTGGGTACGTAATTCCTCTCGAACATCTCAACAAATTTCATAAGTCATATCGGAACAAGATTATTCTCTGTATCATTGCTGGGGACAGCTGAGTATGTTCTTTCAGAATAGCCAAACTTGATCTTTGCTTTACTTCCCAACGGTGAAAAATGAATTCTACCGAATTAGATGCTCTCGCACATTTTTTCTAGAATTCGCGAAAATTGTCTACGAAACTACCCTTGCAAAAATGCCATTGAAAGCCTAAGAGCCTTTCCTTTCAGCGAAATCGAAGCTTGCGCAAAACTTTCCTTTGAGAAGCACAAACATAAGATTTCCTAAAGGAAGCTCAAAGCTTTCTGTAACCAATCTTCGTGGAAAATATTTGCGAATGCAATATACCCTTTGCTATTTAAAATGTCCTGCCTCTAAAAACCTCTTAACCGTTTCTTCCAGCAGAACCAAAGCTTTGGATTAGCATTTTTCTCACGATTTAGTCTAGAATGGTAGAGAGAATTACGGGATTTATACCGAACTTCGCACACATAAACTTTGGCGGGGGAGGGGGGAGCGGATACTACCAAACTTCGCACACATAATCTTTGGCGGGGGAGGGAGGAGGGGATACATCAGTAACGTATCTCTGCTGAAATTTACGGACTGGTCTCAGTAATGTATTGGTTAACGCGTTCTCAGTGTCCTGGCAAAAAGTTACTTCGAGATCTTGTGCTTGTCTGGGCATATTCGCAATGCTAAATCCAAAAATCCACACTGGAGAGCGCCAATACGGCGGAAAAGTGACCCCTATGCAGGAGGGAAATCAGCAGGTGGGCGGGGTCGTCCCCACTGTGAATTGACGCTCCCGGCTTCCGAAGCGATCTTCTCGATTCCGCAAGCCGTCCTTGCATGCCACCAGCCGAAGGCAGCGTGACTTGGAGCCGGAACCGAGAGGATCGCTCCGAAAGCTGGGAACGCGAATTCGCAGTGGAGAGGGCTCCGACCACTTGCTAATTTCCCTCCTGCGTTAGAGGTTTCTTGACGTTTTCGCGCTCCCCAGTGTAGATTTCGGATTCTAAGCGAGTAGGCCCGGGTAAGCGCAAAATCTCAAAATCAACTTTTTGCTCGACTTTTTGCCTTTAAGCGGGAATGGTAGAACTCAAACCACCCATTCCAAGCAAGCCATCAAGCATCGGAGCCGCCTTGAAACGCTGTTCTCAAATATACGCTTACTGTCGAAGAACTACTTAAAAGGAGTTATGAGCGTTTGAATGCGCTTGTTAAGTGTTGCGTAGCGCACGCTCAACGAAAAAACGTTTTAAAAACAATTACTTAGGCTATTGATAGATGTGCTTTTTCTACGTTGTTAGAATACTCGTAATCGGTATAATTATGCGCCTTCAGGCTATCCTGCAACGAATTGTAACTTGAGTAATTTCTGAAATCTAAACACTCATAACTCGCTTGTTTGGAATGGCTGGGTTAAGTTCTAACCATTCCCTCGTTAGCATTTTTTGGGACCGACCTAAAATGATAGAAAAAATTACGGGATGTGAACCAAACTTTGCAATCCAATTAAAGGTGTTATAAGCTATTTTGTGTGACAGCATTTATCGGTCTTTTAGTTTTTTTTACATTTTACTTTCTGGAGGGTGAGAAAGTGGCAGAGAGGGTAGATGAGAGATCACGAACTGTAGTTAACGAACTATACTATACTTAACAAGCTATTCTTATAAGTATTTACTGTTTCCCTTACTAACCTATTCTACGACTTATTGATTTTTGCGCTTTTTTCCGAAGTCCAATCGTGCTATATATTCCTCGTAACTCGTCATTTTCTGGTATTTTCCACTCTTTTTCTAAAGTTTTGTGCGCGAGTATATTCAAACAAACGTAATTAAACTCCGTTGTTGGTTTGCTTGGTTTGCTGCAGCGGAACATTTGCACTAACTCATTGTGTCTGTGGAGCCGTTAGGTTTCGCGCATTGTCTGCAAGATTTTCAGTAAGTTACGAATGACTCGAGCATGTGTTGACCATGCATCAGGTATGGTCAAGAGGAATAATCCATTGTCTTAGTCCATTCACGAGATCAAACACTGCAATTAGACGATGAAAATTTTGGATTCGATAGTCTATGCCACTTAGTGACAACTCAGAGGCTGGCACTCATTATAATATCCTGACCGCGCACTAACTCAGGCAACGGATAGGACCCCTCCGCCGGAGAAATGGCAGGGTCGCGGCGTTTCCCCAGCGGTGGGTCTCCCATTTGTCCGCCGGAGCCCTCCCATTTCTGCTCCGGATACCTCCCATTTTCTGCTCCGGATACCTCCCATTTTCTGCTCCGGATACCTCCCATTTCTGCTCCGGATTCCTCCCATTTTCTGCTCCGGATACCTCCCATTTTCTGCTCCGGATACCTCCCATTTTCTGCTCCGGATACCTCCCATTTCTGCTCCGGATTCCTCCCATTTTCTGCTCCGGATACCTCCCATTTTCTGCTCCGGATACCTCCCATTTTCTGCTCCGGATACCTCCCATTTCTGCTCCGGATACCTCCCATTTTCTGCTCCGGAGACCTCCCATTTCTGCTTCGGACCCCTCCCATTTTCTGCGGCGCGGCTCTTCCAAATCTGGCGGACTCGCGCCGGGCAAATTTCTCCGGCGCGGCTCTGCCAAATCCGGCAGAGCCGCGCCGGAGAAATGGCGTACCTTTGCAGCAGGGCCGGAGAAGCCTCCACTTGCCTGCCAGTGATGTCACCGCGACGGACCGCCCATTTGCCCCTCTCTCATTGGTCAACTGGGTCCGGCGCGACTCTGGCAGATTCGGACTGTCCGGCGGAGGGGTCCGGTCGATTGTCTGAGAACGTTTGCCTCAAGGTTACGGTAAGTGTACGGCAGATGAATCAGGATACTGAAGTTTGCACTTTTTAGAAATGGGAGGGGAGTTATACAAGATACTGTACATGCTGAGGCGCTTGTTGATATATGATCAAGACCATTTGCAGTGACTGAAGAGTATGTCTGTATAGGTAGGTTATGACAACTTTTCCATAGCGTAATGCGTCTGAATGCTTACCCTTCGATTCAAGGAAATGGGTTGCAAGGCGCTGCTTCGAGGTCCATTCAAGGCTAGGGAATGAGAGAGCGCGCTGGCGAGAGAGACGCTGACAGCGTCGCGGGTGCGAGCGGTCCCCTTCCACCCGCCAATTTCGTTGAATCAGAGGGTAGCTTATCTGTTTTCAATGGACATACGGATGAGTAAGCTTTGCAAAGTTGCAAACCCAGCGAAAATCGCTCGTTATTACTAATCATGATTAGCTAAATCTAACTTGCACAGTAAAATAAATCGGTGGACTTTGTGTATGTATGTTATCTGTCACGCAATGTAACGTTAACGACATAAATTTCAGAACGTACTCTATCCTCAACATGGAAACTTGTTTGCTGTAAAAATGGCCATTTTTGGTTGGTAGTTTGATCAGCTCCCTTATTTGTTTCGTTTTCTTTAGAAGAATGTTACAAATAACTCTATTTCAAGACGCATGTTTGAGTACAAGTAGCCGGACACTTCTCTAATTGGATCAAGTATATGGGCCTTCAGTGTTTGTGCACTTTTTTTAAATTATATTCAAATCCATCCGGTGCCCGAAAATAGTTTATATATGCATCAAAAGTGAATACTTACTACTGCTCAAAAACGGTTTTCTAATCAGTACCATTATTACAGTTCCTGTGCGAGTTTATCCCAAATTGAAAACAGCCGCAAATTCTCTTTTAATTTTGTAGTTTGTCCTTTTCGAACCGAAGCCATCAGGGGCAAATCACCAGTACTCTGCCGCTGCCACATTCAATTTCGAAAATATTTGTTTGTTTGTTGTTTGTATGATGTCATTGAAGCTTTTTGCTGCCGATTACCAATTTTATTCTGTTTTTTCCCTTCGTGAGAACAAACGGTTGGGTTTTTACTTCTGAAACAGGGACGTTGTACGAGTGAGGATGCATCAGGCAAAATGTCCATATCGTAGTCACGTATCAGCTTTATAATCTATAAGGCCCGATCATTTTCGCGCTTTACTTACACTTCGAGGGATTACTACGGGTACTAAATTATCCAATTTTCTTCAAGGCGTCGTTCTAGAGGTCAATTGTATGCCAGTCGATGTACATACCCTTTCCTTCAATTAGATCGGCGGCTGGAAGGCGGAGTACCGTGGCCTATCAAGGCTGGAAAGTAATCAGAGAGCATGTTCGGTAGGGAGGCGCAGACTGCGTTGCGGACGCAAGCAGTCGCTTCCTAGGTTATGAAGCCCCGCCTTTCAGCAGCCGATCTGGTTGAAGCAAAGGGTATGCTCGAGGCTTCAACTCACTATAAGCATACAGTGCAAACACAGTTCATGCTAAAGATTATCGGTTGCAATTCGAGAAATAAAGCATGTACAGCTGTATACTTTCTGGAAATTTCTTTCCTTATCAGGTCCTCACCAGATATCTATCACTGTAACTATAGTGTATCAGATTTCGACGTCTTTACATTTCACCAAACCTTGTAGCGGCTTTGATCGCAACTAGAACAAATACATTTCAGTGGCGTACCCAGGATTTTAGTTCGGGAAGGGGGGGGGGGGAGGACAAACTTCTGATGAAGGTGCCTGGCGTCGCCACGTAATTAGAAAATGGCCCATAACCTCCCCCCCCCCCTCGGAAAATTTTTGTAAGGCTGAAGCAAATTTCTAAAAAAATTTCAAAAACTATTTTAATCATTTACAAGTATAAACAAGTCACTTGCACATTTTCACAACGCATGTGACTTTCAAAAATTTCGGGACCCATTCTCGGGGGGGGGGAGGGAGGGGGGGGGCTCGGTACGCTTCTGATTACAACTAATAAATATGCCAGAATTTGACAATCATGCGATGAATTCTTTATATAAACTTGTAAAGGCATGCTACATTTTGAATTTTGATCGAGAGTAGAATTCAGTCGAGTTTGCACAGTCCACTGACACATGTCGGTGTCCCTTGATGGACACAACCTGCGCACGGCGGCCCCATTTCATAGATAGGTGAACCTTCGGCAATGTTGCTAAAGATCCATGTAACGGCTGTAAAGGAGTGAAAGAACTTTTCAGCTATTTGTACTCACGCTCCGCTGTAATGACAAACAACATTGACGAAATCTGAGCACTCCACCACAGCGCAGCCAAGTGTCCTCTGTGTGTCCCATGCTATCTTAAAAATATAGCGTTTTCAAACAATGGAAGATTTATTTCGCAACGAACTTTGGCAAAATGGCGCAAGTTAAGGTGGCTGTAGTACAGGTTTAATTGTCCTGGCATTTGCTGCATGTTGGCGTTTTCAACTTCTTTCCACCACATGGAAACGCTCTAAATCAAGTGTCTAATAGAGTTCAATGAAATTGTGCAATACTTCGTATGCCGCCGCCGCGACTGTCACGCTGGTGTCATTTATTGTATATCTATTTTCACTGTATGTAGTTTGTGTCGAGTCTCTGTCCGTACATTTGCTTGCCCAATCATAAGCACTTTTTTCAGCACCGCAGTCATATGTCTGAGGATGAATTTACAGAGTAACACATAACATTGCTCATTTATAACATCTCACGAGGCGAATCATCTGCGTGGCCGTTCGAGCAACATTACCGTTCCTCATAGTAACAAGACCTTGAGCAAGTTCTTCCCTGCAATTTTCTGTGAAAATACGGAGCAGAAAACACCGAAGCGCTTACCTGAGTGCGTTATGCTTTAGCAAAAAAGAGTCTCTTACAAAGTCCTCAATGATTTGATTATTCGGACACTTTTTGTTGAAGGCTTAACGTTTGAATTGAGACCAAAAAAATCAATGAGCTCAAGATAAATAGTTTTACCTGGATTAATGATGGGAACACGCATGGATGTCATTGTAACATGTCTTCTCGTAACATCAGCAGTAGTCGTTGTAGGTGTCGTCATTGTTGATGTTGGTTCAGTGTAACACTCAGTTGTTTCTGTGCAAGGACAAGGAGGACATTCAGTTGCACGTTGGCATGTTGTTGTAGCTTCAGGAGTTGTAGTAGTTGTTATCCATGTGGTTGTTGTCGGCATTGTTGTAGTAGTAGTTCGAGTTGTTGTTGTTGTGGGAGTTGTTGTAGTTGTGGGAGTTGTCGTAGTAGTAGTTGATGTTGTAGTTGTTGTCGTAGGTGTTGTAGTGGTGGTAGTTGACGTTGTAGTGGGCGTTGTTGTAGTAATAGTTGGAGTTGTTGTTGTTGTTGTTGTTGTTGTTGTAGGTGTTGTCGTAGTGGTAGTTGTCGTTGTAGTAGGCGTTGTTGTCGTAGTGGTTGGAGTTGTTGTTGTGGTTGTAGGCGTTGTCGTAGTGGTAGTAGTAGTAGTCGGAGTTGTTGTTGTCGTCGTAGGCGTTGTCGTAGTTGTTGTTGTAATTGTCGGGGTTGTTGTTGTGGTAGTAGGCGTTGTTGTGGTGCTTGTCGTTGGAGTTGTTGTTGTAGTAGTCGGAGCTGTTGTTGTTGTTGTAGGTGTTGTTGTCGTTGTAGTAGGCGTTGTTGTAGTAGTTGGAGTTGTTGTTGTGGTTGTGGGCGTTGTGGTGGTAGTTGTTGTTGTCGTTGGTGTTGTTGTAGTGGTTGGAATTGTTGTTGTGGTAGTAGGCGTCGTTGTGGTGGTGGTTGTTGTCGTTGGAGTTGTTGTTGTAGTAGTCGAGGTTGTTGTTGTTGTTGTTGGCGTTGTCGTGGTACTCGTTGTTGTAGTCGGGGTTGTCGTTGTTGTTGTAGGCGTTGTTGTAGTAGTGATCGGTGTTGTTGTAGGCGTAGTTGTAGTGGTTGGAGTTGTTGTTGTGGTTGTAGGCGTTGTTGTGGTGGTAGTTGTTGTTGTCGTTGGAGTTGTTGTGGTGGTTGTTGTAGTCGGGGTTGTCGTTGTTGTTGTAGGCGTTGTTGTCGTTGTAGTAGGTGCTCCTGTAGTGGTTGGAGTTGTTGTTGTGGTTGTAGGCGTTGTTGTAGTGGTAGTTGTTGTTGTCGTTGGTGTTGTTGTGGTGGTTGTTGTAGTTGGGGTTGTCGTTGTTGTTGTAGGCGTTGTTGTCGTTGTAGTAGGTGTTGTTGTAGTGGTTGGAGTTGTTGTTGTAGTTGGCGTTGTTGTCGTTGTCGTGGGTGTTGTTGTAGTAGTAGTTGGAGTTGTTGTTGTTGTTGTCTTCGTCGTGGTGGTCGTAGTTGTAGTAGGGGTAGTTGTTGTAGTCGTGGGCGTTGTTGTAGTGGTAGTCGGGGTCGTCGTTGTTGTAGGTGTTGTTGTGGTCGTGGTAGTAGTTGGAGTTGTAGTTGTCGTTGTAGGCGTCGTGGTGGTTGTAGTAGCTGTTGTAGTAGGTAATGTGGTAGTGGTTGGTGTCGTTGTTGTGGTTGTAGGTGTTGTCGTAGTAGTTGTAGTGGGGGTAGTTGTTGTAGTCGTAGGCGTTGTTGTAGTGGTGGTCGGGGTCGTCGTTGTTGTAGGCGTTGTTGTAGTAGTTGTAGTAGTCGGGGTTGTTATTGTGGTAGTAGGCGTCGTCGTGGTTGTTGTAGTGGTTGTTGTAGTAGGTGTTGTTGCTGTAGTAGTCGGGGTTGTTGTTGTTGTAGGAGTAGTAGTAGTTGTCGGTGTCGTTGTCGTGGTTGTTGTAGTGGTTGTTGGCTTCTTTGTTGTAGTGGTCGTTGTCTTTGTTGTGGTAGTCATTAATGTTGTAGTTGTGCATGGATTTATAGTTGTGCACACACATTCCGTTGTCACCATTTCTGCACAAGTAGTTGTCCAAGCTGGTGTTGTTGTGGTGGTTGTTGAAGTGGTATGCTTTCTCGTGGCTATAGAAGTTGTTGGTGACTGGGTCCTTGCAGTTGATGCCACTTCTTCATGTGGTAAATCTCCTAGACAATGACTGCTAATAGCATTATTGACAAGCTTCAACTTCCCAGAAAAATTCTTTAAGGTACAGTCGAGTAGATTTAGCGGTAAATATAGTGTGCTTGCACAGAAGGTGAAATGCGGTAAAATTGGCGCGTGAAGAAATAGCTTCGACTGTGACGCCGGCCAAGTGCGCGCGCAAAATACCCGCAGTACTGGCGTGGCTATTTCTTCACGCGCAAATTTCACCGCATTTCACCTTCTGTGCAAGCACACTACATTTACCGCTAAATCTACTCGACCGTACGTGTTTTCACTAACTCGACATCCTTATATAAAACTTCCGTTAAGTCGATGGACAGTGTTAGTAAGTAAAGCGAGTAGTGGCAGTCCGATTAACTTATCCAGCACTTGAATTTTTTTGTGTTTAAGTGATTGAGAACTGGCTAAAGACTCCGTTCTTCTGATGAAAACCGGCAAGAACTCAATTTTTCTTAATCCTTGACTTTTGAATATTAAGTCACCCAGAATTTCCTCCTTTTCGAACTGCATGCTGGACATAATTACAGACACTCTAGAAATCGTCGTAATTTGCGTTCTTGTGGATGAGACTGTTCGAAATTTGCTGCATAGTGCGCATGTTAGCCTACCGTGACCCCTCAAAAAGTTTTAATCTGGTTGAATTCGAACGAAAAAAATTAGAAAAATTCGATAAAAACCTTACCGAAAGCTGGACAAAATCATAGAGCCACATGGTATTTTTTAACGCTATCGCATCCTCTGGTTCTAAAATTTGTTTGTACAGTTACGTACTAAAATGGAAACATTTGCAACATCTGGGAAGTGTCATCCTTTTCGAAGAGAAATGATCACTGCATTTTTTGCTTTCAAAAGCATAAAAAATGAATGTGCTCCAACAAACAACTGGCTTTAGGAGTTTTCAAGCTCTCGTTCATTTCAGATGATAGTGGGAATCCAGTGCCTTTTCGATAAATGAGGTGATGAGCGCTTTCGTAAACTGCGTAATCGCTATGGACGGACACACTCAAACCTCAACATAGGCTTGTCACGCTCTTGAACCACAAAACTCAGTTTGCAATGTTCATGAAGTGCTAAACTTGATTCATTATATTGCCTGCATAGTGTTGCAGATTTCGCAACAACTTTCAGGTTTTCCCTAGTGCTGCGGTCGCGGTTTAGACCTGACGTACTTTCCAACCAAAGTCTCGGCGAGCAGTAGATTCGACATAATTCACTACTTTCCTCTCTGTTTTATGTCAAATTTTACCCGAAGGATGAGATTAGCTAAGATTTGAAGTTTTGCGCGGTTTACTGTTCTACCTCGTAGTCTAAGTTGGCTATGAATGCGCAGGGTGCTCCACTCAACATTCAGTAGATGACAACTGCAGCTGAACCATACTGCTAACTTCGAGATTCTTTCCAGACTATGCACACAAGTTTACTGTTGTTGACTTCTTGGCTACATTACAGTATTTTCTGTCGCTTGAAAATTGAGTTTTGTGGTTCAAAAGCGTGACCTATGCTAAGGTTGGAGTGTGTACGTCCAAATCAGCGATTACTCGGAGCTTACGAAAGCGCTCTTCAACTCATTTATCGGAAAGGCCCAGTGGATTCCATGACTATCATCTGAGGTAGACAAGAGCTTGAAATTCTTCATTTCAGCTGTCTATTGAAGCAGATTGACTTTTGATGGTTTTGAAAACAAAAAGTGCAATGATCATCTCTCTTTGAATAAGATGACAGGTCGTGCATGCAGCAAACGTGTCAGATTTCAAGATGCAACCGTACAAAAAAACTTGAGAGTCAAGAAATGCGATAACGCGCAAAAAACTGGTGAGGGGGGGGGGGTGGTAATTATGTCCAGCTTCCAGCACGGGCTTTTTCGGTTATTTTCATTTTTCTACTTTTAAATTTGGAGGGATTAGAAGAGGTTTTGAAGGATTATGGCAAGCTAACATGTGCACTACTCAGTAAAGTTTCGCACAGTTTCATTAACGAGAACGCAAATTACGACGATTTCTAGAGTGTCTATATAGCTACGTCCAGCATTGATAAAAACCCTTGGAATAAAGATAGGCAGTTAGTTTAAACATACTTTGAGCAGCTTTCTTTCACTTTCAGCAGTCATTTTGCGCGCAGCACTCGCACCCGCTCAACTAATACTGCTTGTGCGCCTTCGTCATGCACCAGCCTTTAGATCGTTCTGACCTCACACAGTCCCTGGAAGCGCCATTTCTGCCGCTTTCGTTGCTCGAAGGGGCGTCGGGGCAGACTCTTGAGTTGCATGTTTTTGTCGCTATTGGAACTGTTAATGGCCGTAATTTTAATCATGAAGTGCAGATTGGGTGAATCGGAAAAACTCGTTTCGGGAATTCTACAATGCGTTTGATAATTACAAGATTCCAAAATTTTGGATTTATAGAGGAGATAGTGCATTTCAGTCAACATCGCTGTGGTTTACACATGGCACCAACAAAGTGAAACTGTAAAATACCTCGATTCATTTGCTGTTCAGCACATATGAGCATGTATATTCTTCTACTGTACATAAGTACACACCCTTGAGCAAACAGTTCTTTCAAGGAATAAAAGGCAAACATGATCTATCAAGCCTATGGACAAGCTTCTTACAAATGTTCACATAACTGCGGGTCGGTTCTGTTATATGCGTCTAGAACGAGT